TTTTTTGTCCGGGACAAAGCCCGGACTTTTCATCCTTGCACTTTCTATGTCTGTCATATTTATCAATTTGGAAACAACATTGAAAGCTTCTGGCCCCCGCGTAGCGGGGTAACCTTTCTAGTTGGAAATCAATCATAAAGTCCAATGAGTGTAAATTTAGTGTAAATCCAATATTAAATCACTTTACCAGCGGTTTTTGTGACGGAAACTACCGTCGTAAATGAGTTTTTTTTTTTTTTTTTTTTTTTTTTTTTTTTTTTTAATGTAAGCCTGATTTCTCTTTCTAAACCCGTCATTGGTTAAAATTAAATACTTCTGTTAAAATTGGTTTTTTTATGGCATAAAGAATGTCAATAGAAATACTTTTACATTTGCTTGTGAGATTAAAAAAGAATAAATCCGGAACATTTTGTTTAAATCAAATAAATAAACTAATAGCTTCAAGGCAAAAAAAAATGATGGGGGTTCCTATTCGCTTACAGATTGAAGGTTATTAACGACTTACTTATAATACACGAATAGCTACAAGACTAAAAAAAGCAGGTTCGACACTAGAGATTCTCAAATTGGCATTGGTTCGATCCGTCTCGTACTCATCCTAATTGTGACCCAACGTATGGAGACGTTCCTCCTTTTGAGCGAGCGGATCACTATGCTCGAAGTGGAATATCAGTCTGCATGCACGAGTCCACTTAATCGTCTGTTTCGCTAGATGACACGTCTCCAACATAATTGCTAAATGAAAAATACCATATAATGGGCTTCTTAATTAAGACATACTATCACAGATCATATAGTTTAACTTCATGGTAATTTCATAGTATGTATCAGTGAAATAGTGTGGAACGGATATTTTATAATTAAGTAAAAATTTAATAACGAGAAAAGGGGAAATGCATAAAATTATATTACATACTCTTAGAAAGGAGTTTATATATCATATCAAATATCAAATATTTATAAGAGGCAGATAATACATAATTGCCATCGATAATTAGCATACATCTATAATTAGTTAATTACTAAATAGTTACATGATATTACTTATCAATGACTCACTAATCAACACATAATCAGTTATAATATCCATATGAGTTGAGGCTAAGTTCAAGTGAAGTCCGGCCATCGGAGCGAAACCAATTTCCACCGGTATAGCAACCTCCATTACTATGCTCTGACATCAACGGCGACTCCACAGGCGCCTTCATGTTGATGATATCATGATGGCTGCCTCCCATGGTGGCGCCACCGTTGACTGGAAAGAGAGGAAGAGTCTCCATCTGGGCTGACAACTGTCCTCCTCTGTCGTCGTCTTCCTCCGATGCTTCATACTCCGGCTTTATCTTCTCGTAAGAATACGAATCAGTTCCCACCCATGACCCAAAATTCCGACTTGTTCCTCCGATGACCCTAGTTTCCCCTTGTGATATAGAACACTCCTACACACATTGCACATATTTTTCAAGAAATCTTAGTTTTTATACGTTTCAAACGGGTTTCCGTTGTTCTAGAGAGTTTGAGTTCATAATTTTCTGATAATATACAAGAAAATAAGAATATATGAATATTACTGGAGTTCTTTTTCCATTCCATAAGTTTCGATCAATGGTGTATGCATGCTATATATGCATATATGTTTGTGTAGGTATACCTTGAAACTCTTTTCCATGGCGACAGATCCATGGCCATACCCAACAGGCATGAATCCCGTTGAAGAAGAACCTCCCTCTGTACAAAGAAAATCTGAAATATGTAAATAAATCGACATGAAATATGCTATGTGAATGTGAAAATTAACGAACAAAATACAAAATTTAGACAAATATGAACACAATGGTGGAATGTGACTAAGTACCCGAAGGTGAGATTTGATGAGTGGTGTAGAGCTTGTGTTGTTGGGTGTAGAATTGAGGTGGGTGGTGGGAATTAACATGCATGTGGTGATGGTGCTGGCGGTGATCGGAAAACGGAGATGGGAGGAGGGTGGCGGTGGAAGGAGGAGGAGGTGGAGGCGGAGTTACAGGTACCGGGGTGAATCTTTTTTTCTGTCTTTCACGAGCTTTATGGTTCTGAAACCAATAAAACACATTTTTGCCTTCGATTTTCCCATAATGTCTTAAACGAGCAGCGATTCTCTGAATCTGGTCAGCAGTTGGTGACCTGATTCCATTGTTGTAATAAAGTTCTTTAAGTATTCGAATCTGGTCGCTTGTGGGTGTCCACCTTGTACTACTTTGCCTACATAAATAACCGGTATTGTTTTTGTTTCCTAAATCTTGTTCTTGTTGTTGAGTTTCCATGGTGGTTTTGTGTTTACTGAATGAAAATAAACAAGAAGGAAGAAGAAGAAGAAGAAGTGCGAAAGTACAGAGAGATGGGAGAGATTATAAAGAGGGAGATGGCACATGGAAGAAAGAGAGTATAGAATCAAAAGGAGGATATCTGGAAGAGGACTGAAGTTGACAGACTGATGAAGGAAAAAAGAGGGAGTAGAAAGTGGTTTGCTTGGATGAAAAGCCTTTTCCAATTCCATCATCATCATTTCATTACCTTTCTTTCTAAACATGTCAAAAAAATATCCATTTTGAAAAAGTAAATAATTATAAAGGTAATCTAATTCATATAAAAAATATGTTAGATATGAATAATATGGTCATATCAACACTTCTTTGAATATAGGAAAAAACAATCATTCAAGTGTATATAATTTCTTAATATATGTAAATTTATCCTTGAAGATACATTTGGTCAAGTCATATGTAATTTGTAACTATAGGATCTGCAATGAAAATGCTTTAGAACGTGTATATACCATATAAGATAAGATGTTTATTGCTACTTTTTTTTTCGTCTCTTTATAAACGACTAAAACAATATTTTCATAGTTAAAAATTTGTTAACATAAAGTTGAACACATATCAATGAAACCCTTTTCCTAAATTAGATGATACGATCTACGATTGTCATACAAATTTTATTTTATTATTTACAAAATATTACGAGACATTAATATTTAACTTTGTTTGACAAAATTACCTTTACAACAAGCATATATCACTTGTTTAGTAAGCCATGACTTTTACTGTTAGTATTCTTCTATAAGAATAATTAGATTTTTTTATATATTATTAATTTAGTTGAATCTTTATTAATAAGACAGGGGAGTTTGTGATGAATGAATGAATGCTACAAAATGGTATGTGACTTTTGGTTGTGTTTTTAAGTATCAATTGGGATAAAAATACTTTGATTCATGCTAAAGGAAAATATTCCTTTGTACTTGTTGATTTGCCCATGGGCAATTTTGTAATTCGGAATGTTTTGTAGCCCCACCCCCATGGGCATTTTTTGCAAATCTTTATTATGATGAGAGCTACATTTCTGGTGGGCTCACATGTAGGTAAAACTAAGTCTCTGATTGGTCACAACTCATAAGACACCTTCAGTCAGTGTCTCTGGTTTTCCTTTTATTTCTCCTTGTATATTAATCAAGAGACTCTTTCCATGTTCATAAAACAAATACAACAAAAGACATCAAATATGTATTAGTTTTAGGTAATATCATTCACATTTTTGGATATATTATTTTCCCATAAAGTCTTTACATTTTTATTCTATTTTAAATAAAATTATAATTTATTTGTTATTACATAAATTTGGTTTTAATTGGTTATTTCGGGTGTTGTGACATTATTAAGAACTTCACAACACAAATTTTTTTCTAAAAGAAACTTTCAAAAGGGATAATGACTTACAAGGGTAACATATTTTTTGATTTGTATACATTTAGTCATTAAATTTGTTTGTCTATATTTTCTCATTAAACTAGTTGAACTGTTCAAAAAACATCATTAATACCTGTTATCAGAGGTTTAACCGGTTTCCGACGTATTTGACAACTCCGAAGAGGCTGCGGTTATCTTATCTGGCAAGTCTCTGGCGTTCATGATTTTTCCGGCGAACTCAAGAACTCAGGTCTATTCTCTCTTTCTGTCTCTTTCTTAGATCTGAACAAATTTCAAACATAAACCCATATTGGTGTTCAATTTTCAGACTCAAGAACTCAAACCCAAAAATCAATTCTTCATCTTCATCTTCTTGTGTTCAAACTCAAGAACACACATAAGAGTTTTTGATGTGTTTGTTCATCGTGTTCTTGAGATCTTTATCTGATTCATCAGTTGTTCATTGTTTTCTTGAGTTCTTGAGTTTGTGTGTGTGTGTGTGTGTTAGATTAGAACATGAAGAACACACACAAGAGGTTCAGATTTGAGTGGGTGTGTTTGTATGTTACATCAAAACACGAAGAACACAAACCCAGATTGAAACAGAATGCATATTAGAAAACGATTCCATATCTTCAAGCACAATTTCTAGATTTGAAAACCCTAACTCGAGTTCATTTTCAAGCTTGTCAGACCTTCAAGATCGATGTTGGGAAAACCTCCACATGTGAGTGTGTTCATCTTCAAGGAACCCAAATGTAACAAACCGTTATTTCAAACCTATGTAATAATGTAGGTCAATTTGTATTTCTTTTTAAATTAATAAAGAGAAATTTTAGCATACTATGTGTATTTACATAATTGACCCTCAAAAATAAAGTATTAAATAATCTCGATTGGGGTGAACCAAGTGGTAGATATCATAACAAGGTTTCCAAAAATATACAGAACACTAAAATCCGAGTTATAACGAAAAGTTATGACCAATCGAAGATCCGCGACAAAACCGGCAAAACACTGTTCAGTGTAAAAACTGAATTTCAATAAAAGGATTTTTAGCCTTAACAATCTAAATGAAATTTGTAGTTTATGTTAAACCAAGAACTTTCATAAAAAGAACGCCAAAATCTGACTTCGTATGAAGAAGTTATGAATTTTCTAAGTTTCAGTATAGCAGTATACAACTAAAAACTCGAAATAATGATCGAGCGATTTTTAGCCAACACAACCTAAACGAGAATTGAAGGTCTCGTCAATAGTAGTACAACGGTAAAAAGACAGACAAAAACGGACATCGGATGAAGAAGTTATGACTTTTTAACGGATTTTCCCGTCCCGGACTGTTAAAAATAATATAATTAAAAATAAAGTCAAAATTATCCGATGAAGTCTAAACGAAAGTCGTAGAGTATAATTTTACCTACGCGTGTATATAAAGAACGTCAAAAACGGAGTTCGTATGCGAAAGATATGAATTTTAGAAGTTTTTGGCTCAAAAACCGAGAAATAAATGAGAACCGTATAATTTCGCATGAACAGTACCTGGTACGTCATCTCGCATCAGCAGCTTCTCCGTATCCGCCTCGTGGCACCTTCTGATTGGACCGAGGTGCGGTCCAATGGCCAGCCGACACCCCTCGCATGAACAGAAGTCGCCTCACCCGGATCCGGCGCGTGCAGCTCTCCGATTCGACCGAAGTCTCGGTCAATCCCCTTCCGACGCGCCTCGCACTAGTTTCGCGCTTCCGAGCCTCGCACGCTGCTGCTTCCGACGTCGCTCGTGGCCTTCGCTGTTGATGCCGCGTGTCCTGATGACTCACCCTTCGGACCGCACCCTCGCAGCCTATATAAAGGCTGCGAGATTTCTTGGATTTAAGCTCATTTTCACCCCATTTTCCATTTCTTTTCACCCCTTTCACTTCCATAAGCTTACAAATAAACCCCAAAGCCCCGGTATCATATCTCAAACCCTAAGCAAGCCTCGAAGCCCCGAGAATCCCGAGAAAAACAACTTTCTCCAGTCGAAACTCTGCCCGATTTGAGCTGGTTTTTCGTCAAATAAACTCATTTCTAGAAAACGAAACGCTGTCCAAATCACCATCTATCAAGTGAGTTCATACCCCCCGTATTTTCATAATTTCTACTGTTTTAAGGGGCGAATACAAGTATAACACAAGAACTTTGTGTTATAAATACATTATTTCAAATCATGATAAAACGACATTAAATCATCAGAATATACTCAAAACATTAAACTCTTTTGTAAACTTATATTTTTCCCCAAAAATTCATATTTGTATATATATATATATA